ACCAAATGAAGGCCTGGGCACTATTCACAAAACCATCAAATTTACAAGCTCACAGACATCTCATTGAAACATGTGTATCAAAATAAACATTTAAAGAGAAAGTTGAGTTCTGGGAAGAGGTGAAAAATAATTTGTGAGCGTTATCATTGTTATTATGCAAGTGTGGAAGAACATCAGATAAGACATGTTCCCTGAAAAGCATGGCTCTTCAAATGCCTTTATATTCTAAATATGGCATGCAACATTGTAAAACTCGGGGGTAGGATTTTTACGCCACGTGTTCGTGTAGTCCCATATACATCTTTCTATACAGTGTTTGTAACTTTACCAAGACTTGGCCAAATTTCTGATCATTTTGATGATTCCAGAACCTTGCAATACAAATTCTTATATGCTAGATGATCAACCTTTTCTGATCGATTCCACACCGTTTCTTTCACAATGCAATCACATGACCAGAACTCAACTTCAGGGATGCCTGTATACATATACACATGTGTGACCTGTAGAAACATTTTGTAAAACGCATCAAGTTTGTTTACGTGCAAACGAATGGGAACTGCAAGCAGCAAAAGTCCTGTACATATTCCCTATCTCTGTGTAATTATAAGATACAGAAACGTGAAGTGTATTACACTTAATAAAACACTGTGGTTTTGCCACGTTATATCTGAAGGTGGCATAATACTGCTATCACTTATTGCTTTCACTTGAATGCTTCTCATCCCACATAAAATCAATCAGGGAGAGAACTAATCAACTTGAACGTATCATACTTCATATGACTGCCTCAATGTTTGGTCACATTATATCAATCTAAGAGTGACTCAAACACCAGCTTAGCAGCTGCATGGATTCATTTACATCATAACTTTCACTCTCTAGCTCTCTTAAAGGTATTACAAAGTTTTGGTTTGGGGTCATGAATTTGCTTCAAATTAAGATATTGGAAGCATATGCGATCCTACAATATTCATTGAACGTTGTCCCGGTTGAAATCGAGTCTAAAGTTATGAAATTATAAATAATAAACTCTTTATGTTGTATAGCTCCCTCTCAAGGTCAAGATATCAATTTAGCTATGAAACAATGTTTCTTGACTAAAATCGACCGATTAGCTATTCCCGTTTGGAAATTACACATCACAACTACATATTCTGAGATTTTCATGGTCGCAGCTACCATTGTACGGCCGTGGGCGCTATTTGAAATTTATCAAAAATTTACTGGGAGCACCATTAAATTTGTATATTCAATTTTTTTCAAGAACATAAGTGTTTTAGGGGTTAATTTTTTTAGAGCTTATAATACATCCACAGGGGCATTCAAATATATCAAAATTGTAAAGATTCACTATCCACCCAATTTTCAAAATTTCCCAAAACTTTGTATTACCTTTAACTCTCTTTCCATCATAGACCTCATTCTTTCCTTCATCTCTCTCTCTCTCTCTCTCCTTCATTTCTCTCTCTTTCCTCTATCTCTCTCTCTTTCCTCTATCTCGCTCTCTCTTTCCTTTAACTCTTGCACACTCTCATCTTATAACACAAAACTTTGAGTATATGTGTACAGTGTAGAATAATTGTTGCCATTCACAGTAGCCATTCATTTACATGTTTTTCTTACAAAACCTTTTTTTTTTGCAGCTATTTATATACCGCGCAATAAAATGAATGAGCCTTAATTTGGTGTCATTTAAATTTGAGCCCCATGTTTGATAGTATCATGAACAAAGGTTAGGATTTGTGGCTGCATACGATCTGGTGAATGCGACCTTCTTCTTTCCTCTTCTGTCTACAAACGTTAAAATAAACTAGTAGACCCACACGTCAAGATGCATTAACATCACCAAACTGGAATGCTTACATGTACACAAAACGCAGTATGTGGGACCTACATGTAAGGTCCAATGCACCATTAATCCAGTCTAGCTTGCATACCAGACAGGTTATATACCACATAATGGGGAATCCCCGTGGAGTTGACTGTGAACGGGTTTAATCTTGATCACCAGGCCTGAGGGTGATTCAGACCCACTTCACATTGGGTGCGTTTATTGGGTCTTGCCACTAGATATGTACATATACATGTACATATCGTACCCCACTATACGAAAGTGATTTGCGGGATGTCGCGTTTATCGTCTCTTCACGATTCAAAATAAAGGCCTTGTGTCTGCGCAGCTGTTTTGACCCGGGAAGCAGACAGTTTCTCAGAGATCAACTACACACACATGCTTGTACACAACACATGGCACGCGCTAGCCTCCGAACCCTTAATCTGGGTGGTCCGTTTTGTATGTGGGGTTCAAAACTGTATGTCACATTCAAAACACACCTTTTTGCGTCTTTAGATATGCCCATATCAAAAGACCTTTAAAAAAAGGCTTTGCGTTTATCACCTTCTAAATTTGCCTCAAAGGCGTTTGAGAAACCCGATTCTAACCAAAAATTTGGTCAATAAACGCACCCATTGACAAATAAATACAGCTTTCCCTAGGAGTGTACATGTATATCGGCTGTTTGGAGACAGAACAGTGTTAACTTGTATCAGTTTACACAGAGTCAGCACCGTGTTGGCTCCAACTAGATGATAGATTCATGTACCCAGAATAATAATAATAATAATAGTAATAATAAGAAGAAGAATATCAACAATAATGATAGTAGTAACAATAATAATAACAATAATAATAGTAATAATAAATAATAACAATACTAATAGTAGTAATGAAAACAATAATAATAATAATAATAGCAACATTTCTGATGCACTCATATCCATCAAAAGGAATGTTCAAAAACATTGAATAACAGTGCAGAAAATACAGATAACAATAGATAATAATCAGACAAATAATTATGGAAATTAAGTGAAAGATTTTTATTTTTGACATAAGATAGGCTTTCAACTTTCTTTGGAGCAATTTTAGAGTTCCAAAGAATCCAAAGTCATCCCAACTCCTCTTTGTTCTGGGTTCTTTAAGATTTGTGGAAAATCATCATCAAAGACATCATCAAAGACTCAAAGACTCAAAAGCAGTGTAAGCATCACTTTGCATCATTGTGAAGTCAGCTGTCATGTATTTTGACTATCAGCATGTTTCTATTAGAAGCCATTATCCGGTTAATGACCGATAAGGGATAAATTTTGCCTAATAGACACTCACTTTCTCCGCCATTATCCGGGTAATGGCTGTGAGAGCTGTGACGCGTTCACGAGCAAAATTATTCTTCTTTTAGAAGGCTAATGCAGGGGAAGCTAACTGGATAACGTAAGTAGAAACACACCCCGTTTCAATTGAGTGCATATAACGGAGAGAAACCGAAAATCGGAGTGATCACGTGATCGGAATATTTACCCCGACGCACACAAAACTAAAATCCCAGTTTGACCTAGCAGTCCCACAATACTTTGTGGTGACCTTAGCCAGAGTTCAATGAAACTTTATTCATGGCCTTTTAGTTTTCACCCGCGTAATCGGAGCAGTGTATTTATCCAGATAATGCGCGTTGATAGAAACTGCCCTTCCCTGGCATTATACGCTATTTTCTGGGGAACATTTCTAAACAGATAAATTCAGTATAACTAATAGAGACACGCTGTATGAGATACGTCATTAAGTCATCACATGACACACTTGCTGATGGTGTTCTCACGCGGTTTTCCAGGACTCATTTCAGTGGTTGGTGGATGAGGGTTCAGAATGAATAACTACAATGTATAGTTGAAGAGGGGTGAAGGAGAGGCAAGGTTATGAAGTGGACGGTAGGTGAGCAGTATTAATACACAGGGGAGAGAGAGTGCTCTAGATTGTGTGTGAACTTTTGATATAATGATTCCATCAGCTAGATGTTCGTTTGATGAAATGGTTTGACTTGTATTGTTCAGAAATGAAGGTTAATTGAGTTCTGGTAAAAAGAAAAGAAAATGAATCCTCAAAGAATCAAATGAAAGTTACACTGAATGTTCAAGATTACAATTAAATGTCATTTGCCAAACAATTTTGGTAGAGGTAGAAAATGTATACTGGCTGAGTAATGACCATACATGTAGAAAGATAAGGAAATCAAGGTAAGGAAATCAAGGTGAGTAGCCCCCCCCCCCCCCCCCCCCCCCGGACACAATTTGTGTAGTCCCATATACATCTTTCTGTGTACAGTGGTTGTTACTCTACCAAGACTGGGCTAAATTTAGTATGATTTTGATGACTCCAGAACCTTGCAGTATACACCAATACTTACATGCTACATGATCAACTTGTTCTGATCCATTCCACACCTTTTCTTTCACAATGCAATCGCATGACCAGAACTCAACTTTATCTTTGATACTCAAACACAGACAATCAGACAATCTCCTCGACTAGTAAGGCATTCAGGGAATTGCTTGATTTGTTCGTCTTGTCCATGTAAAAGAGTAGGGTTAGTCACATAAAAAGCTATTGCTGAATATTTTGTTTTTTGCCTTCATATTTTGTTATCAATGTGAAAAGGCCTTTTCTTTGTTACATAGACCATATGAATTGGGTTATTATATTGTCCAAAGACTAATTCCTAGTCCCATGTGCTCCAAAATCCAGTGTGATTTTCCATCTTCAGAATATATCAATTGTCCCTCTATGTAATCCGGAACAAACAACTGATCACTCCATAAATATTCAATAATTCATATTAACATCTTGTCTCAAGTGAATTGTCCTTTTCCTTGTTACATAGACCATACAAATCAGGTTATTGTATTCTCCAAAGAGCGTGAGTACCGTTTGGTACTTGGTATAATTCCTAGTCCCATGTGCCTCCACATACGCTCTGATGTCCCATCTTCAGAATATATCAATTGTCCGTCTACGTAATCTGGAACAAACAACTGATCACTCCCATAAACATTCAATAATTTATATGAAAGGGATAGTTGAGTTCCGTTGCAGAGGGCGCTACACAAAATAATTTCAAATTCGGTTTAGAGACGGCTGAAATAATAATGAGAATTTTACTTACAGCAATGACATCTCCTTCGGTGATGGACCAGAATGCTTTGCAGAACCTGATGTCCGACTTATTGGTGATGTCTAAGATCTGCTTGCCTCTCGCTTCGGGATTCGTCAGGTACCTGCCGCTAAAAACCAGAAAGAAATAAGCACCAGAAAGTGGTGCAATTTGACACAGTGAAGGGGGCTTGTGTAGTGTTGGGTGTTAGTGTTAATGATATTCAAGTGTCAGGATATATACATGTAGCTCCCAATGTTAATTTTCATAAATAAGGGGGCTTGCGTGGTGTCAGGTGTTAGTTTTAAATAATAAATCCCATTGTACAAATTGACACAATAAAGGTGGTTTAGCGTCTAGTGTAGTGTTAATGATAAATCTTATGTACATGTACATGTATAAGGCTGATGAGGCTGAGTGAAAGTGTAATAACTTTTTGTAATGGTGGTGGATGATCAATTTGGTTAATATATTTTATTCCTTTATCAAAAATGCTGCTAACACCATCGTTTTAGGGTGCTGTGTTCAGCTACCAAACTGCTGTGTTACAATACAGCCTCCTCAATCTCAACAGCACTGGTAGAGCCTAATTTTATTAGAATTCACCAAACCCCAACACCGAGAATGAAAATACCAAATGTGGTCATGAGTTTAGTACTATCATCTGACAATTTAGAAATATAATAACAGTGTAGGTTGTTGTGTTTGCAATGTGACTGTTAGTAATGTCCATGCATTCTTTGTTTCTATTTTATATATTACTGTATCATTTCTCATCATGAATACCTTCACAGACCACATTAACTGTATTACAAAGTTTTGGTATGGGGTCATGAATTTGGTTCAAATGAACATATTGGAAGCATAATTATGCGATCCTACAATATACAGTGATCGTTGTCGCAGTCGAAATCGAGTCTAAAGTTGTGAAATGTTAGATAATAAACTGTTTATGTTGTATAGCTCCCTCTCAAGGTCAATATATCAATTAAGCTATAAAACAATGTTTCTTGACTAAAATCGACTGATTAGCTATTCCTGTTTGGAAATTATATATCACAACTACATATTCTGAGATTTTCATGGTCGCAGCTACCATTGTACGGCCGTATTCGCTATTCGAAATTTATCAAAATTTACCGGGAGCACCGATAAATTTTTATATTCAATTTTTCTCAAAAGCAGAAGAGTTTTAGGGGCTAAAGTTTCTGGTGCTTATAATACATCCACGGGGGCATCCAAATATATCAAAATTGTAAAGAATCCCTATCCAGCCATTTCCAAAATTTCCCAAAACTTTGTATTACCTTTAAGTAAAGTTTTTTTAATAGTGATCCAAGAAAATACCCCTCTCTTTCTCTCCTCTGAAAAGTCACAATATTTTATGTTAGTGAACAAATTATTTTGATATAAAGCAAACCGAACTTAATATACCATTACTCTAGTCTACAAGTAATTAGTTCACCAATACATAAACATGTACAATAATGAATACACGTTCTAATAATGAAATTGATTGAGAAAGTAAAATAAAGCATGCATTGTATCTAAAATATTGATAAATTAATTTATATTGTATATTGATATACTTCAGAGAGTAGCAATATAATAAGCAGGGAAACTTGGGGGAAAATAGTGGATATTTATTGTTCTGCTGTACTTTCTGTGACCTACACATAAATGTACATGAGCTCAAATCAGGAACAACTTTGAGCATTTCTACAGAATAGAAATTGCAATATTGTAATTATTTTAAGTTGTAATGGAATCATTTGAAGAAAACAAAAATTAGCCAACCAATAAAAAGCTTCATTTTCAAAGGGAAATGATATTTAATTTAATAAAATGTAAATTTATATACTTTTTACATACATTGTCTGTTTGGAGCAAGAAGGGCATAAACTCCTATACTTTAACACAGGAGAAACAGCCTTCTGGCTCCAAACAGACAAGCAACTGAAGGCAATCAGATCAAGTATGGATTAATTCCTCTCTCTGCTCATGCATGCTGTGTAACGTGGATCATATAGGCGACTAGGCCCAAATTCACGAAGGAGGTTTGAATTTAACCCATAGTTTAAATCCTCATTTACATGACCCATGGTCTAAAATTAGCTTAATTCATCACGTACGCAAACAGAGGTCTGACATTAGACGTGCGCAAGGCAAGGTACGCTTTATATCTTGTGCTAATTTTAGACCATGGGTTTATGTGAAATGAAGATTTAAACCAGGGTTAAATTTAAACTTTCTTAGGGAATTCAGGCCTATAAGGTTTTAAAATAGTGTTTTTTAATAATATTAAACCTGAATGTGCCACTATAGTGTATTAATTCTCATTTTTTCCTTCTGTTTCATTACTTTCACAGTTACTTTGACTACAACTAGCATGGGGTAAACATAAAAACAAAACTTTTGATGTACACACCTATACATGTATGTACATATATGTATTCAGATTTCACAAAGAAAAAAAACAACAACATAAGAGTGCAGTTTTCTAATTCTGTTAAGGAATATGCCACCAAGGGACACAGAGTCGGTTAAATTGATATTTCCAATACAGCCCATAATACTCATAATAAGGATTAGTTTTTTTATTTAATATGCCTCTTCCATATAATGCAACGTGTTGGGTATTAATGTCCAGTTGAAAAGAATATTTGATACAGGACTCTACACTATTAGTGGAATTTAGTTAAAGATGTAAAGGAAAATCCAACCGTAATTGTTCTCTAAGAAAACAGAATATCAGAGAAGCAGACTGGTGAAAGTTTGAAAGAAATCAGACAGAAAATAAAAAAGTTGTGAAATTTTAAATGTTGTGATCATTATTTACGGGAATTTCAAATTGGCTGCATTGGTATGATACTGAATGTAGTGCCGGACAACTTTCCTATTTGTTCTCACACACAAAATAAATAAAACATCAAGTTTTCAAAATATGAAACTCAGGAGGTTTTGATTCTCATTTCTAGAGGACATACATAATAATATGAACAAAATAAGTAGTGCTCCAAGGAAGAAGGCGCTATTAAAAGAGAAAAACAGAAATTATTGATATTTTTTTACATAATAAATGGAAGAGTCGTCTACGGACCAAATTGCCAATTTGAGATTCACATACACCTAGTGATCTCATATTAAAAACATTCATAACTTTCTTATTATTGGTCCAATTTGTTTCAAACTTTCTCCTTCTGTTTCTCTTTATTTTCTGCTTTCATAACAGTTGGATTGCCCTTTGAATGCTGCACCCTGTACAATCATAAGTAGAATGGAGTATATATGAAATATATTATAATTGGTAAGCATTATATCAGCATTACCTTTTTGATTGTCTTGGCCTGAATCTGATAAAGTAAGGTGTACATGTAAATGTAATTTTAACAAGTGTAGTTGGTATAATAATGTGTACATGTACATATTGAACATTGTAAATGCATGATTATGCAGACTGGTTTAACATTCTGACTGTGTACTGGTACCCTTTATTCATACAAGTGTACATCACAAATTTAAAGTAATTATATGTTTCTACATGTATCTTGTGTAAAATTTGATATTCTTGCTTTAGATCACTGTGCAAATTTTAGAACTGACATAATTGGCATTGAAACTTTGATACAGTTGTGTACACCACATCTAAAACATACATTACTTTGTCTATGAAAATTCATTACATATTACAGAGACATTAACAAAAGAACATTTTGTTTTATAGTCTGACGACTAAATGTTGGTATGCATGCAATCTGTGTGTCTTTTTATTCATGAAATCTGATATGATCGAGGACTTGTTGGAACAGTAGAATTATATAAATCATCAGCTGTGCAATCTAAAGACATCAGGGCTCTGGAACACAATATGCAGAGATGCCAACCTCTTGACACACAAAAAAACAGACTGACTATCCTAAAAAATCAGTAAAATTTCAGGAAAATGTTTTTGCTCTTTCATTAAAATATAATGAGAAAATTTCAAAGCAAAGTTTTTGTTGGGGTTGTGGGGTTTACTTGTACATGTTTCTATGTGATTCCACTATTTTGTATGGGTTAAAAAATAACTTTTTTTGGGGGGGAGGGGGAAAGATGAAAAATTGTATTTTAAGATTTCGAGATCATATTTTACTCTTATTATCGTACTAAATAAGATTTAATCCTACTGGTTGGCATCTCTGAATATGTCATGACTAATTGTATCTCCTTCAGCCAATCATAAATTTACAATTGACGATCAATTTGATATTACAGACAGATACATGTACAATGCACGGCAGGATACAATTCGTCATCCATATTTGCCCCAACGAATCCATGTAGTAATACAGTTAAACCTGCTTTAGTGACCACCTGTCTACAAAGACTACATTTTTTGTTTCCCTTGAAAAAAGTTTCTCATTGAAACATGTACTAAAGGAACCTGTCTACAAAGACCACTTTTTGTGTTTCGTTTGGGCGGTTGCTATAGACAGGTTTGACTGCACATATGACAGATTCGTTGGTTTATATGAAACAAGACAATAATGACTGATAAGTGATTGTGTGTCGGTTTATACATGTATGTTACAGGGCCCTGGTGAAATTAGTTGTGAATTGTAAATCTTTTACCTGTGGAAGAACGATGATGCTACTCTTGAGAAGGGACCCTCATATTTCTGATACCCCTCTGCATACGACGCTAAAGCTACCGCTACAGTCTGCAAGGGTTGCCATAGCGATTCACAAAACTGCAAAAAGGAAGGAAAAAAATATCATCATGAATGGTTATTTCTACAAAAGGTAGTAGGAGTAGTAGTAGTAGTAGTAGTAGTAGTAGTAGTAGTAGTAGCAGTAGCTCTATACAGAGCAAATTTATTTTTCATTTCTTTTCACATAATATACACAATAACAGACAATAATAATAATAATAGTGGCTTTTTAATTCCAAAACCTGGTACACTCAAACCTGCTTTAGTGACCACCTGCCTGCAAAGACCACATTTTTTTTATTCCCCTGAAAATGGTTTGTCATTAAAACATAAACTAAAGTTACCTGTCTACAAAGGCCATTTTTGTGTTTCCCTTGTGTGGTTGCTATAGACAGGTTTGATTGAACAACTACATTTATATGAAGCCTATAAAAAATGGAGTACAAACTTAACACAACATGAGGGTCATAATGAATAGTAAAAGGAACACTGAGGCCCGAATTCACAAAGGAGGTTTGTCGACAAACCTACATGTAGGTTATGTGCGTCATATGACGCGTTTCGATGCGTTTCAGACCAAGGTTCAGACAAACACGTCATATGACGCACATAAACCTAGGTTTGTCTATACAAACCTCCTTTGTGAATTCGGGCCAGAGTGTCTGTCAAAGGTGGTGAGCGAAAGAAATAAATAGATAGAAGCAAAATACTGGAAGCAATAGTTTGACAGGAAGCTTTAATATTAAACCATCTTGATTTACAATGCTGCAAAATGAAATTCATTCTTCAATATACAGAGCAAGATCTTGAGTGGGAGGGGATTACATTGGCTTCTCTTATTACATCATTATATCAAGGCGTTACCATGGTGATTTGATAGTCTGATAAACAAGATAGCATTCAAGTCAGAAGGGTATCCTGTCTCTCAGGAAATAATTAAACAAGGTTTGGTCTTTGAATATAAATAAACCTTTGTAGTAAGATGGTAAAGGCAAGGAAGTGTGCTTCCGATGATAGGGGCTCTAGAAAGGCAGTGGTGTCGTTCAGAGTTTGGGGGGAATCCTAAGGCCAATATGATTTTTAAATAGTTGCAGTTTTGCAATATCAAATGAGTACAGAGAGTGAGTGGGAAAGAGAGAGAAGGAAAGAGAGAGGGGGAGAGAGGGGAGAGAGGGGGAGAGAGAGAGGGGGAGAGAGAGAGAGAAGGAAAGATGGAGAGAGAGGGGAGAGGGAAGAGAGAGGGGGAGAGAGAAAAGGAAAGATGGGGAGAGAGGGGAGATGGAAGAGAGAGAGAAGGAAAGATGGGGAGAGAGGGGAGAGGGAAGAGAGAGAGAGAAGGAAAGATGGGGAGAGAGGGGAGAGGGAAGAGAGAGAGTGAGGGGAAATGGGGTTAAGGAGAGGGGGAGAGAGAGAAGGGGAGAGAGAGAAGGGGAGAGAGAGAAGGGGAGAGAAGGGGAGAGAGAAGAGGGGAAAGAGAGAGAAGGAAAGAGAGAGGGGAGAGAGAGAGAGAGAGAAGGAAAGATGGGGAGAGAGGGGAGAGGGAAGAGAGAGAGTGAGGGGAAATGGGGTTAAGGAGAGGGGGAGAGAGAGAAGGGGAGAGAGAGAAGGGGAGAGAAGGGGAGAGAGAAGGGGAGAGAGAAGAGGGGGAAAGAGAGAGAAGGAAAGAGAGAGAGGGGAGAGAGGGAAGAGGGGAGAGGGAAGAGAAAGAGTGAGGGGAGAGTGGGATAGAAGAAGAGGGAGAGAGAGAAGGGGAGAGAGAGAAGGGGAGAGAGAGCAGCAAAGAGATAGAAGGAAAGAGAGAGGGGAGAGAGGGGAGTGGGGAGAGAGTGAGTGAGGGGAGAGTGGGATAGAAGGAGAGGGGGAGAGAGAGAAGGGGCGAGAGAGAGGGGAGATAGAGAGGGGAAAGTGAGGCAGTGGGAAACACAGAGAGAAAGAGAGAGAGGGGAAGGGAGGGAGGAGAATAGAGAGGGGGCAGAGAAAACAACATGATCGTGAAGACTTTCAAGAAATCTGCCCCAGGCAATTTTAATACCATTTTGTGTGTATATATAGAGAAAGTAGAAATGGTATAAGGATCACATAATATGTTACATAATGTTCAAACAAAGCATTTGCTTTAGGTTGATGTTTCCAATAAATCTTGGCAATCATGTTGGAGAGAGAGAGATATATATATATATATATATATATATATATATATAAAGACAGAGAGAGACAGACAGAGAGACAGAGACAGAGAGAGAGAGAGAGAAAAGACAGAAAAAGACAAAATCATCAGACACAGAAAAAAAGAGAGGGTGTATGTATAGAGACTATAGACAAAGAGACAGACAGACAGACAGACAGTGAAACAGAGACAGAGAAAAAGGTAATATCTGGATGAAATCTGTGAGGGTATAGAAAAACATTACATCCGATTCCATGAGGCGGAGGAGTTACCATAGCGATTCAATCAACTGTCAAATTAGGAACATGACACACACAGACTAGCTCCCTACAATAACATCAAACCTAACTACTCCAATATTGATTCAATTGAAAAATCGAAGACATGGGAATATATTTCATAGCAATTCAAAACAATTCGATCTACTTACAATTCGAAATCAAAACCACAGAGAGGTCTAAGAAATAAGGATTCATTTCATATAAACTATAAATGCCAGATTAATATTTATGAAATGTTCAGGCGTGCAAGCGTGCCACTACATGTAAATATGATGTCCTAGATCTGGATGTCTGTACATGTAAGTGATATTGAGATTTTGAGTTTAAGGTTACATCAATGTTCATCAAAGGTTTTACATTAGAAAAAGACTGGGAATAAGTGAAAAGGGAATAGTGAAAAGGAAATAATAGAATTTCAAAAGAGGGAAGTTCTCTTTAGCTACATGTACATGAATGATAGCTTTGCCTTTCACTTCTAATTTTTCATCACAGCTTGTTTACAGGCACACTGATATTACTACGCAGAATTAGATTAACACTTCGGTAGCTTGTTGCCTTTCTGCAGGGTCGCTTGTGTGCCACACATGCAGTTTTGCACAAAAGAGTAGGGAGGATTGCTTTGTGCAACACAATTGCTTTGCAAATTACCCATTTATGGTCTTGCTTAGCTCGATGACAATCTTTCGAACACCAGTATGGATTAATCTTGCACTGAAAACATTTTAATAATCCTGAAGCATTTTTGCATTATAACTGACAGTTTCCCTAAGGATGATGAATACAATATGGTACAGGGACATCATGTGTGTGGCATTGGAAGGGTTAAATACATGAAGTAGATCATTAATTGAGGTGAGACTGTGGGGGTGGGGTATGTCATCTATTTGTGTTATTTTCTTTCTTTCTCTCTTCAAGTTCTCTCCTTTATTCATCATTAATTGCATGCTAAAAATCCAGTCTGACTGTTTACATACCGGTAACTAGCATTTTCCTATGCTCAATCATACATGTACATTTGTAACAAAACTTGGTGCACATTGGTTAATTGATCGTGTCAATATTGACCATTCAATAATGCCTTTTGCTGCTCATGCATGCACTGACTAGAGTGTTTGCACTGCAATTTGTGACTTTAAATAGATCACGGTATTTTCAAAATGAAATTACAATGTTTCTGAGGGAATAGAGATTACATACTGCACATCATTTGACAACACAAAATAAAAGCTATCATATGTTTTTATTTTAAAGAGAGAAAGAATTTGACTCGATATGATTTATTTATTCACCATTCATGGGTTGGATTGCCCTTGTCGGCTAATAGCTTTAAAGGGGTCCAGAAAAGAAAGAAACAAGGAAAGGAAGATACAGAGAAAGAAAACGAGGAGAGAGAGAGATAGAGAAATAAATACATCTCCAAGCAATGTGAAACACCCTTATATTACAATCACTTACAATTTATATGTATGATTGCAGAAATTTGACATAGCATTTGCACATACTGTACACATGTAGCACTTTAACAATGCTGTACACAGCATAAGGGCCAATGCAGACAGCATTGAAACAAATAAGTTTAAACTACATGTACAGTATACATGTACATGTATGTACAATGAACAATGTACACATGTAGGTAATATGAACACAGCCCTGGCCCGAATCACACAGACCTAAAAACAAACAAATCTGTTTAAAATCCATTTGTACGTGCAGACGCATACATGTACAGTACATGCCATACACGTGTGACCATAGGATTGGTTCGACAAATACAGCACTGCAACAGACAAATCAGTATAAATTACATCTAAATGTACTCAGTAGAAACACAGCACTTATCTAATTCAGACAGACCTCAAACAACACAAATCCAGTAAGTGGTTTAATAGCCTTCATACATCTACTCGATGTGAACCCAGCACCGGCCCATTTAAATCAAGGCCCCCCCCAAAAAAAAAAAAAAAAAAAATTCCAGTACTTAACGGCCTACATACAACATGTAGTCCACGTGAACACAGCCTTGGCCTATTCACACTGAGTTCTGGAAAAACACAATTCCAGTACACGTGGCCTCACCCGTGTGAACACGGCATTGGCCCAAATCAAACTAACCTACGATATGAGGCTAAAACAAACAAATCAGTATCAATGAAGATACCAGACTGATCTGACCTCTGCTAGTAGTAATACAATCATTCTAAATTAAATTGGTGAGTTGATCAGATGGGGCCAATTTCATTAATTCAGAATGATTTGATTAGGAATGAATTCATCTCACATGCAGTGATGAATTCCTCATGTAGAGTGACATGACATGAACATGGCTGCAGTATGGATGCACTATGGCTAAGTGCATCTCGCCTTTTAACTGGTTCTGCTACTTGGGCAAATCCCAAGAAATACCAATACGTTACCAAGTATGTATTACAGAATTGTATTATTGAATTGTAAAAATAAATTGACATTGAAATATAATTTCATTTCATGTTTAATCTGATTCAAGCTCGAGTAGGGCTTCCATAGAGGTGTTGTGGTCTAGTGGATAAGTCACTCGACTGCAGATCACAAAGTACTACAGGGTTCAAATC